AAGATGGTTTTTCTGATTCTGATTGCATTTCTACTCGTTACTTTAGAGAGAATGACAAATTGAGTACGTCGCCCGCAGACATTTGCTTTGAGTGCGTCGTCGCACACATACACACACATACGTAGATATCCTTTTGCTACTTAGAGGATCTGGGCTTATTTCAGTCATTATGACCCAGCAGAGACAATGACTGGCTTTTGTGTTAGCTCACCCAGAGGCTATTACCGGTGCATCTTCACGTTGTGCAAATGCTTTCAAAGGTATGAATATGCACATCTCTTATGCAGATCCAAGCCTGTGAAAGCTTTTTATTTGCATCATCATTATTTTGAGCTAGCGGGAGGGCGGCGTCTCCTGCTTGTGTGTGTGCGTCGTATTTTTAGCAACTTTCCCATCTTTAGGCCTCTTTTGCATTCAGTGCGTTTCGTTTTTATTTCAGCACTTCCCTTTGTGTGGAGATGAAAGGCCTTTGGGTTATTATACCTTTAGTCGCCGTCCATGTCTTTGTGTGTCCTCTATTCACATGGATACCTTTCGCTTGATTGTTGTTTCTTAAAGCATCAGCTGCGTTGTTTTAAAATAGAAAAGGAAGTCTTCCTTTAAAGCGACATCCATGTTGAGTGGAAAAATCAATGTGAATTCAGTGGTTAGGATATTGAAAGAATTCACAAAAAAAAAAAAAAAACAATTTTGTATGCCTGCGGTCGGTCAGTCAAAGCGAGCAGCAAAAATGAGATCTGTCCCTTTGACGTGCTCCAATTCGAAGTGAATGGTCATACTTTGTATGGCATCCAGTTTGGACTCCACAAATAGCAGTGCTAATTAGTATTGTTTCGTTCGTTTCGGTGTTCGTTGCCACTTAAACGCCAAAGCGTATTCTGCCCAGCAGACAATCACGAAGCCTGTAGAAAATAAAGCAAAACAAAACAAAAAAATGAAAACTGATACCTTCAGCCATTGAAGCATTATAATTTTCCGTTCCTTTTTGTGTATTGTCATGGCAAGTGCTCCGTGTGGTGCCAAGCTGTCTGGCGGTTTAAAGTCCATTCTTCTTTGTCTTTGCTTTCTTCTGGTTTTCTGCCCGGCAACAATGCTACCCTCAACATCGCATCGACAACCAGCTGAGACGTATGTGAGACGTATCGTTGAACTACTTTTAAGCGTGTCTGTCCATCCGCCGGTTCGCCTGACTGCCTTCGCAAGAGCATCGACGACTAAATAGGTAATTTGGTTATGCTCCGTAAAGTAAATTAACCTTAACCCTGAGCCTCTGCAGTGCAAGCCACGAAACCGAAGAAAGACAGAAAAAAGAAGCCTCTACCACAAATCAAATGAAAATGTCATGCGTTGGAAAGTTGGTTACCAATTGCCAGAGCTGGGCTGGGCTGGACGAGACTGGGCTTGTGGCCAATCTCAATAGATTTACCTTTCTTTTTCTCTTGAAAATAACTTGTAGATAGTACGTCAAAGAGTAGTCATTATCAAATTCACAAATAATTAAATATATAAAAATTCAACTTAAGTTCAATACACAAAAGTTAGTTACCTAAATTGATATTTTATTTGTATTTCGTGATAATAGGGTAAGTGTGCCTAAGTTCGGCATGTCCCAGTAGTCGGCACTTTTCATTTTTAAGCCCAAATAAATGAAACTATTGTAACTAAATGTATTTTGTTTACTTCAAATATATTGTCAGCTATCTTTGTGCACAATTTCGTTAAAAAAATGAATTATTCTAATAAAAATTAAATTTTTGTCTGTGAAGGTCCTCGACAATTCATATTCTTAAGTACCATAAAGACGTCGAATCAGTTTAACTAAACAAAAATATTATATTTTAATGAATTAATTTATTATTATTATTAATTATTCTTACAAAAAAAAAATTGTTGGAAAATGCCATACCGACAATTGGCAAGTGGTGCCGACTACTGGCAAAAAAGCATTGTTTTAATAAAACAACAAATTTATGAAATTTAATAAAAAGTTATTAAAACTTTATTTATTATTGCAAAAACTATACAGAATTTCGAATCTGAATAAATTAACTTTGTAATAATTGAAATTTTCCACTCAGAATGGTGAGCGATTAAAAACGCGAAAATCCTAAAAGTGCCGACTACTGGTACACTCACCCTATCAAGTGTACCGAAATACAGCCTTTTTAAGTTCTTAATCTAAGAGAGACAATAATTTCTATGGAGCACTTCTATACATGAAAGGACATCTAGAGACATTGAGCAAAAGTAGTACCTCCCACAGAGATCGTATACACGGAAACACGTTGATTTTCTAACGAAGAATACTCTGACTGAATCAGCAGCTTGAAGTCTCCGTATTATTCTCAGAACGTGCATAAATCGTACCATGTTCGTACCATGATGGAGTACTGCTCTTTGTTCACGTGTCGTCAAAATTGAATATTTTTCACATGCAGACATTCCTCCAATTTTCGTGCACTTCTGTTACCAAGCGATTTCTCGTTCACCCGCATTTTGTCAAAGGGATTTAATTTTGGAAGAAGACGGGGGGTGTTGTTGCAGTTGTTGTTTGGATGACAGTCATGCTGGATGTTTGTCGTTTGGTGAGTTCATAAAACAACAATTGTTTCACATAAAAAAAAGTTAAAAATACATACATACATAAAAACTCACATACACACACACACACAAAACGTTAACCAAAAGCCGTCAGAAGCACACTTTATACTGTAGCTGGCGTTGTTGCTATGCCATAGGACATGGACAAATAATCCTTTTGTTCCAACATTAAAAGCCTACCGAGCTTCAAAACACTTCTCCTGTTGTTGTGTGAATGCAAGCATGAATTAATAACCTCGATAGGTGGTTGACAATAGCGCAAGAAAACGCCACTGAGACAGCCGGGGGTATGGCAGCACAGGCGGGCAGGCAGGCAATGCTGCTGTTGATGGCATGCCACGTCACATGCGCCCCGTTTTTTTGTGAATGCAACATTGTACACAGGAAGTGTTACTTAAGCTGATAAGTAAAATACATAGTAAAGCAAAGACAGAAAGGGAGAACAGCGAATGGAGACTCATGTGGCTTCTGTGATAGGCTCAGCTGTTTCCAAGGAGGTAGGTTGGTTGGTTGAGAGGAGGAGGAGGAGAATATTGTTTCTTGTGCCGTCAATTTGCTGAAACTTGTGTGTTTACATATGGACCCTGCTGACTTGGATCTACCTCCTCGATTTGTGTTCTCTAAAAATCCAAGTTTCGATGATAGACTATCGTAGAAAATTATTATGCACCAAAATTCCTATATTTTTTTTTTAAAAAAATGCGAATTTAGTAAAATTATTTGAATTTTAGTGACCTACTGTAACCATTCGTTTGCCTTTTTTGTGAAATATGCCCTTTTCTCCATCAAATGATAAAGTATCTCCAACTAGTGTTTTTTTATTATAAAAAGGAACTTTTCAAAATTTTAGCGGAATTCTAAGTATCGATTACACTTCTTTCAAATAATAAAAAAAAATTCCTGAGACCTAAACAGGAACAAACAAAACCATTGAAAAATAACCTCAAAATCAACGGAGACCTGTGTCTAACCAAAAGCGGCAACGTTGGCAGTGTAAATTAAGTCAAATATCCCCCATTGCGCCGAGTTTTTTTGCGTTACCTCAAGCCACTGTTTAGTCACTATTACGAAAATCAACCATTTCCAGAAAAAGGCCAACCAAAGAACATAACAAAACTTTTGCAAACTAACCATAAGACAAGAAAGGAATTTGGTTTAAAGATAACGAGACGATTGCTGAAAACAGCAGTGCAGACAACAATACGAATGCATACATACAAACGCCATCCGCCCTCCCAGATTTGGTGAGGACTACGCCTTAGTCAGAGTAACCACAAACGAAAATGTAAAACACTCACACACACACACACAAACCATAAGCAAACCGTGCAAAATAAAGTCTCTTAAGGAGCAAACGAACGAATCCTTGGATGTCTCCGAATGCACTTCACGTTAAGGTATGTCACGGAACCAGCCAATATCTTCAGCTGCTAACGACAAAAAACGAACTCCCCGGATACCCTCAACAAGCACATCACAGATTTCGCCCGACTTTGCGGAGGACGTGAACAAGTACTAGTCAAAGTTGAACAACAACAACACGAATTGCAACAATCAAAGCTTATTCGTGGCCTGTGCCTTTTAACAAATTCTCATTACAGGCGAACTTTGACATCAGGTGTAGATTATTAGCCAGACTTATGCCTCATAGGCGCTCACTCATCGTAAGGAGCCAAAACTCGAATTCCAGCGACAAAAGAAAATTATGTACAGCTGCGACTGCTTGCTGCCTGGGCTGCGTCATCCTCAAGTAGATTTTGGATTATTTTGAGGAGGCTTTACACAAAAGTGTCAAGTGTCTCTCAGAGCAGTGTTATGAAAGAGATTAAATTGGCAGGAACAATTCGAGAGACTTGCTATTGTGTTTTCGGGCGTCTTGTAGTATCTAAATAAGATAGACTTAATTATTTTTAATGAAGGCATCGAAACGGAATGCGGGGCCAACTACAATATGGGTTTTGTGCAATTCAATGCAATTTGCCTGCAAAAGTATTATTCACAAATTTGGAATTTCGAAATTATCTGGTCAGTTGTATTTTACTACACATTCTTGAAGACAGGATGAATGCAGGTAACATCAAGAGGAACTCGGTGATTAGCTGTTGTTGGCGATTCTTTTAAATACGACAGCCCAAAACTGATTAAAAAGTTATTCAAGGAAAAAATTAAAATACTAGGTTAGTGGGACGCCAGTGCACACATGTTTCTTGAGAGTAATAACAGATGTATCGAAGAAATAAAAAAAAATAATGAATAAAATTTAACTAATTGTCCAAATAGAGCTAATTTTATAGGGGTTGGGTTTTATGATATGGCCTTAGAATTCCATGATATGGTCATGGAAACATTAAAAATACATATTCGTATGCTACTTTTTGTCCTACACTGTAAGCTACAAACTCAAAATATTGTGTCTTTTGACATATACAAAATTTATTTTTCACAACACAAATCAAATTTGGAGCTTTTTTCTAAATGGATCAAAAAGATGTTTCCTCCGATGACCAAAAACTTAGTCTGTCACCAATCGATGGTTTCATCAATCAACCCATTTTTGTAGTCGATTTGAATGGCGAAGTGCAAATACAACTCGAAGGAAGCCATACGACCTCCTCAATCACAGAAAGTGAAAATGTGCAATCACCGAGAAACGTTCAATTTGATGAGGGAATCGTAAATAATCAGGTCAGTTCCCAGACTCTGCTGGCAAGGGATGGAATTGGATCAGACGAGGTTTGTGGAAGTCCCAAAATTCCTGAAAATCAGAGAGAAAATGAGGAGATAGCGGAACGTTTCAAGCAAATAATGAATATGTTTGACGCCTTCACTAAGAATTTGGAAAGTCTAGATATGTCGCCAACGCCATCTGCCGTAAAGACGGAGACAATTGTAAATATAAATGAGTTATCTGCAGGTATTTAACTGGTTTTCTTCAGAGAACATTATCACATAATAACTGCAAACGAATATTTTACTACAGATTGTGGGAAACCCCAGACTAGTTATTGCCAGAGTGAAGCAGGGGAGGTGTACTATTCATCTGGTGCCTATAATTCGGGGAATCCCAACTGCTTAGCCCTCCAGACTTCGTTCCATGAAAATGCTAGCATTGGTCAATCGTCGAAGGTGACAGTTTCCGTTTGTTCAAGTAAATCTGAATTGCTTTTATCGCTCAATAATTACACCAACGCCGACAACGTCTGTCATCGTGTTTCAACTGAGGACGACCATTCAGTAAAGAATCAGATCAAAGAAATACCATCAATTCAAAATGTTTCGCACGACGCCAGGACAGCTGATGAAGGGACCACAGTTCCAACATTCCATACCATACACATTGACACCTCGGTATTACCATCGTCAAGTGTCATGCGTCGGCCGCCAATGTGCCAGCGTCTGTGGGATTCGATAAGCGATTTCTGTGCAGCCATCTGCTTGTGCCTCCAGGTTAATAAGGAATGCATTTTTTGTTTTGCTTTCTTTGCAGCATTTGTTGTGAGCGCTTCCTTTTTGACAGCTTTCTTTTATCGTACTCTCAGCCTGAGTCCATTGCTACTGCAGCCGTCTGTTGTGCCACTCCAACCGGAAGACGGAATGGTGGAAACATTTTGAAGTGGATGCACCAAATGAAATTGAAATCTATTGCCCAAATTTGTTTGTAATTGGAAAATTCAGAATTTCTATTAAACCCCAAGAGTTCAGTGAAGCCTTCTAGCATTTGTTGCAAATTCATCTAAACTCGCAACGATTGAGATGTATGAAACGAAATCCGAATTGTTTCAATAAAAATGCAACATTATTCGAAAATTAATGTTATATCCCATAGACCATAATTTTAGCTGATTTTAAAAAAATATGGCAAAGACGAGCTACACACTTCGTTACTAAATAACAACGAAGGCACTTTTTCAAAATTTACTTTAATTTACATAGAATGGTGTTGAAAAAATAATCAGAAGCTGACAAACCTTTTGCCTGGTCAAGTTTGTCTAGCAAAAAGCTTCAAGCAGAGCGTCATAGGCCTCATTCTCTTAAATTGGTTTAAAATTTACCAAATTGTTTTCAGATGTATATGCAAGTTCTGGGATGAAACCATGGTTACCTAGTGTTCTTGTTCGCATTGTAAATATTGTCTTTGAACTTGCTGTCAACTCAACAGAACGATATTTCAATTATTCGTATAGGGCGCGTAAAATTAATGCAAAATAAATGGACCAATGACCAAAGCTATGGAGCCATAATGAGGGCAAATAAGAGGGCAAAATATGAATTATCCCAATTTAAATAATGAATTTTAGCTGGAATCGATAACCATCTGATTAAAATAACCTCACCTGTGTTATTGTAAGTACTCAGATATCCACGAAGTCTAGACAACACCTAAACATGCAATGAATTGAGTTCCAGTGTGTTACATAAATTAGTTAATTTATATTTTTTTAACAGGGACACGGAGAGGGAGATGGAGAGGGCGAAAGAACATGTCCCTCATTATCAAATTGCAGTTCCATAAATCTCTTTTTGTAAAATGAAACCGAAAGAAATTCCGTTAGATTAATTATGATTTACGATGTGTTTCAGCAATTCATGAGCGATGTGTGCTCATGTTGCAACATCGTCCTGCAGTAGTTGCGACGTTGATGAATTGCTGCACACAGCTCACATTTCGCCAAATAAACATGCAACGTCCAAATGAATGACGTGATTGTTAAAGCTGTCATGACAACCTTTTTGCTGCTGCTGCACAATGGAAAAGTGAGAGTGACTAGAGAATATTTTTCGCAATCATAAATCAGATGCACTGAATGATGGTCGACCGCTAAGTGCGCTATACGTTCAAACGAAATGGAGAAAATGGCACTGATGTTGGCAGAAACTTTAAAATAACAATTTTTTTATCATTCTGGGGGTAGATTGGACAAGGTGGAGAGTGCGTCTGGAATTATGATTTAAATAACCACACTAGAATAATGTATATATATTATCACTCAGCTGGTGGGGTCTAGGAAAAGCGAGTTAAGAAGTCATTGAGGTTCAAACTCACATCCCAGACATATGCTCTTGCCTCTGAATGAATGCTTAGATGTCACACCAAGAACCGTTCAACATGCAAACAATATTCATGGCTGTCGCGAAAAACAAGAAAGCAGTGTGAGTGCAAATAAAAAAAATAAATCACAATGAGTGATGAATAATATCACTGTGGTGATGCAATCAGTTTCAGGTAGTAATTGCAATTGCAGATTTCTTACATTAACCTCCCAACAAGAAATTGTTTGGATCGTGCTCGACACAAGGTTGTAATAATTGGTGCAATGACATAACTCCTAAACCAATTATGAAAATAATGTCTGCGTATAATGTTTGGGCAAACTTCCAGATACGAACATAGGAACTGAATGTTGTTTTTGTATTATTTCATATATTTTTGTTCTAAAATAATTTGCATCAAAAGCTCCCCAAAAGAAGGGGGTATCATAACTTTGCAACACCTTGAGGAAGTTCACTAATTCTATTCGTGATCAGTATGGAATTTTAAATTGATTTAAAACTATCCGTCCGTTTAATGAAATCAAAATAGAGGTACACTTTCCAAGTTAAATTAATGAATTGTGCCATAGATGTTTGTAGCTCTCCTATTTTGGTTAGAAATTCGGATCATAACGTTCAAAATACCGTAAAGGATGAATGTACCATTATATGTCGGTTTTTGCATTTAGGTATAGCATCCATATAACGGTATCTCCTGATTTTCGCCATCTTGACATTTGACATTTTGTTGTTTTTGTTAACCTTATCTTAACCCTTGACACTTTCTGCTATGAAGACGGCCTTTGACCCTGATTTTAGCCTCTAATCCTTGAAAAGATACAAATTTCGACTATGTGCCGTTTTTGATCTTCGAGCCTCTTGTAAAATTAAATTAACATAAAACCTTTCTTTACCTTTTTTAGATGTATTTCGAAACATTTAAATTGTAATTTGAAAACTTCATTTGAAATTGTCAACATTACATTTGTATTCTTCAATTTTTATTTCAATTATTCCATTTGTAATTCGAATCATTTCACTTTTAATTCGAAAAAGCAAATATGAAGCTAATGCAAGAAAGCCTGTGACTTTTTTTTGTTCGGAATTCCAAAGAAAATAATCTAAATTAAAATGTAAAAAATCGTTTACAAATCAATTAATTTGAAATTAAAATTGAATGTTACAATTAAAATGTTAGGAATTACAAATAGAAATCTCGAATTACAATTGAAATATTACGAATTACACAATGATTTATCGATGTTCAAATAAAAAGTTAGAATTACATGTAAAGGTGTATTTCCTCAATATTTCTCAAAGCTATGTCCATTGAAGGACATAGGTCCCTTATAATTTTGTGTTTTGTATGTACCAACTTGAAGGGTTGAAGATAACCCAAATCAGAATTTTGCACGCTGGTCTGCCCTCAAATCTTCTACTGCAAATAAAAATAAATCAATGACGGGAGATTTTCTTGACCTTCGTCGCTTGATGCGTCATTTTTAGTAACGATATTTCTCTCAGTGCCGCTGTCTTACTCCCCATGCAAGTTTCGAATGGATGAATGGTACTTTAAACATTTTCATGTGAATGGCTCACACATTGTGCAATCAATTGTCAATTTCAGTTATGCGACAGCAGCAACAATGTCGACTCAAAAAAAAAATGCGATGAGTAATGCATTCGTTTAGGAAGCAACAAAAATTGATTTAGAAAGACATGAACGCACACCCCAACCAGACGGATGAATTGGCGAATGTTTATCTCGGCAGCAGGGGCGGAGCAGCAGACGTTAGCAGTCTGAACTTGTCAAGAAGCTGAAACGTATACTCTGCACTTTGTGAGTAGCATTAACACATTTTGCTTCCATCATAAATGTCGGAAGCATTATTGAATATGTCACATTTATCCTTTCTCTCGGAGAGTATCGTTGCATCCACACAGACATGCACGTACGTACAAGCAGATCCCGCCTTTGTTCGCACATGCTAAAGTGATGGCGTTATTATGATAATGCAACTTTTATTTTTGATTCATGTGTTAGGAGCATCAAACGTTTATCTTCGAGCAAAAATATTAAATTTTATTTGTCGTCTCTGGGAGATTGCTCTTGAGTCTGGCGCTTCAGACAGCTGACTTATTAACTATTAGATGAGAATGTGACGTTGCAAAATTACAAGGAAGTATTTACCATGTTTAGAAATTCCTCACCTTTTGAAAGTTATTAGATGTAAAACTATCAGAATGTTCTGGAAAGATTTCATAGGAGGCTCCTCAATTTAAAGAGAGATATAGAGTACAAGGGTACAAACAGGTACAAAGACTTTAAAATCCTTGTAAGTGAAATGAAAGATCCTCAGCATAAATATTTTAAAATGTTGACGCTATTTTCCTAGAAAAAGACTAGGGCTAATTGGATTTCCGTAAGAGGAAAATAGTTTCGTGAAAAAAAACTTAGTTTAAAAATTCAATAAAATGAATTACATTTTTCCAAATATCGAATGCCGGAAATTCCTGACAAGTCGTGCCGCTTCAAAAGCTCATGAATTTGCTTCGTAGGTATTTCGGCAATAACAAAACAAAATCTGGTTGCAATTATTATAAAAAACAGCTTAATAACAGCCAACCCTACAGCCGCAAAGAAGGGTCTTTTTCAGAAGCCTCTTTATATTCAATGGACGAACATTTTTGGAAGCAAATATTTCGTAGTGGGTCGCCTCTTCTCCGACCGACCGGCCGACTCTTCAAAAAAACGTTTTCGCCGGATGACAAATATGTAAATTTTGCCATGGTAAAAAGAGAACACACGAGAAATTAAATACAAATAGGAAAATGTACCTACATACAGCAAAGGAGACAGGCTAAAGGGGGGGTGGCTGCGCCAGAGAAAATCTGCACTCCAAAAAACCAAGAAGAAAACGTGAACAAATCAATGCTAAGTAAGTAAATGAGTACTCAACAATTGCAGAAGCCGCTGCTTTTTTCGTTTTTGCTGAAATAAGTCTGCTGCCAACAACAACAACAAAGCAACAAAATGCTGCTGACAAAGAAACAAAAATTGCCCACCAAAAGAAAACCTTACACAAGTGTGCAATTTAAAACCCATTAAAATTTACTGTAATTCTACCGCAGAACAAAGTGTGCAAAAAAAGAGTGCAAAAAAACAATCCAGCAAAGTATATTCCTAGAGAACTCCCATTGGACATTCTGTTGGGATAGACTTAAGGATATATGCCGATTCTGTCTGAGCTGTGTTCCCTTGACAAGTAAACTACTTATAATAAAAAAGTGAAAAATAAATTGTTTTATTAATGGGGAAATTTTGATCCTACATGGTTGATTATGACGGTGGTAATTTGCATTGTAACCTTAACTGGGAACAGTAGCAGCAATAATATGCCGGAGTCAAATAAATGTTCGAAATGAGGATCATTTCGTTGCCAGGCAACAATAAACGTAAACAAGCCCTTTATAATTGTCCATTGATGTTCGCTATTTAATTTATGAATTAAAAGAAAAATAATAGTATTAAAAAGTAAAAGTTCCTGCCTCCCACATTCCTGAGGAACGAAGATTAATTTTCTAAAATAATATTATTTTGAATTCGTTTCTTCGGTAGACTTTGCAGTTGGCTTTGTTTCGAATATTACTAGCCCGATTTAAGATGATTTCAGCTAAGCTGGAGTACTTTCCAGATGCCACCAATTGGAGATCTGTTCCGATTTTATAAACCTGCATTATGCTGTTATAATTTATAGACTAGCCGAAGTAAATATTGACAATTTCATCAATATAGAATATTTTCCATCTTATCCTGACATGATTAACAGTAGTTGCTTTTATCTAAACTGAGCATAAATCTAACTTTTCTTGTTAAGTGTATTTGTATGATACTTATCGGAGGCTAGAGCGTTGCTTCAGCCCTTCATAATATTTAATTGGTCATACATATATTCATGATTCGTTCTCTTTTCAATATAAGAAGTTTAAACATAGAGTTTTTACCGAATATTCAGCATAAATCGGTCAAAAGGTGGATAAATTGTTTGGTTTTCGACGATTATTCGCTCCATTAATTTGAATTCAATTACTTGTGTGGGCATGTTTTCAATTACTCTTGACACTATCATTAAGCGTAGAACGTAGCGTTTGTTGTTGGAGCTATTGTCGGTTTTAGACACCAACCCCCCTCACCTTCATAAAAAAACTGGAATGGTTTGCACATATGTCTATTTTAAATCAGAGATTTGAAACAAATCAAATGAGGAAAATTAAGAATATTATGACAATTGTAATCAATCAAAATAAACCGCAAGCAATAACAATCAAACCCGGAAATAAATCAGGTGGTGACGATAGATAAGACAGTTAATGCTGTTGTTCAAAAGAGAACAAATTGAAAGATGGTAATCTGTAGCAGCTGGGATTTCTTCAAACTATGCTCCCTCACCATGCCCCCTCACACCCAGCAGGACGACTATTTGCTCTTACAAGAAACATTGTTTTCGTTTTTCAAAATTGGGATTTAAAATATATTTCATCGGTATTTACTTTCGATTGTTTTATTAATCCACTGTATGGTAATACTGACTCGAAAAGTAAAAAAAATGCAGGAAAGTGGACAACTTGGAAACATTTTTCCAAAAGTTTTGGTCAAAGGAAATATTTGTCAAGGAAAAAATGAAACATTTAAAATTATTATTTACTCAGCTCTTCTTTTCTTATTTGTTCTACAGCATTTCTTTTCTCTGGACGCCCTTTGGTTCAACGTTTCATACAAAGTTGTCATTAATTTATGAATTATGAAAAAAAAATTTACTTTTTCCTAGAAACTTTAACAACGTTCGTACACTTCTTACTGGTTTTTAATTGGCAAATGTAATTCTATGAGGCAGCAAGCCAAGTACCAATATGAGCGTAACGTCAGTATCTCGCTCGTTCACTCACTCACCCAGGCGGACAGACAGACAATTCACATTTCAAATGTATTTAATTAGCAAAGGTCTTTGTAATTTATTAACCTCCAACATAGGCGTAGGAGTTCTGATCTCTGAACACAGGCAATGTTAACTTAACCCCAGCCCAGCTACAGTCATATTTCACAAACAAGTACATACTGACACATACACACACACACACGGACGTATACAATGCTGCAGCTTCTTTGGGAAACCTATCAGGCAAAGAGACTTTCAGCCGGCACCGAGTTTAGGCTTAATGACGTTTGCTAACGTTAATACTAATGCAGTCGCTCGCTTACAATCGGTTAATTTGCAAAGCTAATTAAGCGCATACATAGCTCCCTCCGCACATTGGCAAATGTTTCTTTGTTCTTGGAATCGTATTTGTTTCGCAGCTTATGCATAACTCATACTTCATGTATGTTTGTTTTTGTTTCTTCAATTTAAATTTCGAGCTGAATAAAGCTTATTTCTTGAGATCATAATGCGCTGCCATAAGTGGCTCAGGTCTCACAGTAACTCCCTCAAGCATATCTGTACATGGTATTTGTTGTTGTTTTTCTGCGTGTGTGTGTGTGTGAGTTTTTTTTACAAAAATAACATGGATTAAAAAATACACAACTCATAACTATTCTTCAGTTTTTCTATATCCCACGTTTGTATATTTTTTATATGTTTTCGGAGAGACCCAGAAGCACTTGAAACCAAAAGAAGATAAAAAAAATAAAAGCAAAATACGTGGCTTAAGACATTTTTTTTCTTGTTTGCAGATACATACAGCGCACACGCTCCTGCGACGCGGTAAACTCGACAGCAAAGCATTTCGGACGATAGTAGTTTAATAGAATCGCCGATACAACAGCCCTACCTCTGATTCGTAGTGAAATTGTGAATTATTCCTCGCACTAGCAAACAGGTTTGAAAGTTAAGAGTGCCTGCTTCGCTGATATTCGGTTAGAAGCAAATATAACGTTTTTTTTTTTTTGCCCTTGATACAGTTGGCAGAATCGTTATCTGACAGATCTCGTAGTCATTGTCAATATCGGTTAACATCATTTAAATGTTGGGACGGTGGCTATTTTGTAATAGATTGCTAATTTTCGAATAGTGTTGGTGATTTTCATTTTGAATACCAAAATAGATTGAAATCAACATTAGTTTGCTTGCATTTCGAAGATCAATTTCGAATTGATTTTTATATTTTCTTCTTTTTTGCACTACGAAGTGTGCCTTAAATTCAGCTATCTGCACTAACCAAATCGTATTCTTTTTGTTAGCACTGTTGTTTTCTGACGGACATTTTCTTCCTCTTTTCCCGGTGGTAATTATGTTATTAAAAACTTCAAGTAGCGCTCTAAAAATTAGTAACAACTTCGTTCTGCAAACTTCTTCCAAATTAATAGATTTGCTTTGCATGCTTTACACCTCACTCTATGCAGTTACAGTTTTTTTTATTACAACCTATGATGTGGCAGTAGCTGAAAAAAATTACCACCATCATTCCATGCGGGGTATGGTTGCGCATTTCAATTATCCGCGGAAGAAACCTAGAATTGGAGGAACTGTTTTACGAGGATATGAACACCGATGTCTGCCCTAGCTGTCAAGCGGAAGTAGTTTGCTAAGAGCAACTAAGCAAACCCACCGCAGTTTATAATTTCCGTTTCTCATGAGTTTGCCAAACAACAAGCGAGACGTTAAAAAATTGTTAGCTTCGACCGCCGCCGCTGCCACAGCCACAGCCGATGCATACATATGGATGTATGCTTCGTGCCGAAGATGGTAATGTTTGTCCGCGTTGCAATCAACCGCTGTAGTCCTGTTTAATTACTCCAAGTGCATAATTGTTTAATGGTGGCTATTGTCCCGCCATTTATTACGAACGCTAAATCAATTTTTCCTCAGAAACTCAACGGTGTAATTAAAAAACATTTTTCATCGTATAAATATGGAGAACGGGCGGAACACAGCTAATTGCCTCTGACGTCTACCTTAGGAAGAAGTTATGAGTTGTATTTTCTTGGACATCATGGACGTGAGTCAAATAATAAATATAAACAAAAAAACAACAAAATCTGAAAAAATTACATTCATTTTTTAATGCAATTTTATTTGTTTTATAATTTTTTTTATCTCGAATCAATAAAAAGAACATTCAGCCACGGCCCACACAGCAATGGGACGACGATTGCTTCGTCCACTTTTTAATGATTTGTCATAAAATTTTAATAGCGTTATTTAATGTCAACAACTACCAGCTATGAAATTGGTAATAAAGTTTGCGCACAATCTGAGGCTCAGAGTTGTCAATGGGAAGTACGCTAGGTTTTGTTATCGGTTATACCACGGCGGACAGCAATTAAGAGACAATATATTTGGTCCAGTTTTTGATCCGAGTTTACTTCCAATATTTACCGACTTTTGTACTTAAATAAAAGTTAGAATTCAGCTATTAAATATTGAAGTTATCTGATGTGAAGTAATGTAACAGAACAGAGTGGGGTATATACGGTAATATTGTGCTTTTGGAAATATTGTTTTATAATGACCAACAACGCCAATTTTTAAGTTGTCTTCGGGGTCTCTGACCATGATCCGAGCCCTACATTGAGATAATCGTTGGCCACTAATAACAACTAACAACGAATGAAAAAAAATATCTCAGGGTTTTGTGGCGAATGGTTGACTTTTATCGAAAGTTGTTCCACCATTGACTTCAATACCAAGTTTGGAACAAAGAGGATCGTCTTTACCACGTGAGTGGCTTTCGAACACTTGTGGCGTGCTTTCTTATATTTGCTGTTCTGTTTTAGTTGTTAGATATACCGCAAACAACTATAGAGGTCCTTCGTCGTTGTGAGAATCTGTACGGTGGAAACAAATGAAAGCTTTTTGGACCCTTGTATTTTTGGGTTTCGTAACAAAAAAAAAAACAAGAAATCTAATGAAAAAAAAAATACAAAAAATATATGGTTTCGAGCGAAAATTGAATGTTTACATATCACTCTTTTACTCAAAGCATTAATTAGTTAATTAATTAAGTGATTTTTTGAGTTACTATTTTTTTAAGAGTCTTATTCTATCCTTCACTTCAATGCTGATGTTGATATCTCTAAAGCTCAAGATGTTTCAGTTAAGTTTATGAAGCCCTCTGAACCATGTTTGATCTTGCAAAACAATTGCACTGATATTTGATGAAATCTTTACAGATAATTATCTATGTAGTTGCATTATTTGCTGTGCTGTAGTCTTTATCATTTGAAAATTTAATTTTCGATAAAAAAAAAAAATAACTTAAAATGTGTTTTTTTTTTTCGAAACTGAATTTTTGGGGGAGTGACACTCTCTGTGTAAATGAGACCTGAGACTAAGACTAAATACAAATAAAGTGAATATGGCGGAAAATGCAAGAACTTACCACGAGGGATATCCAGAGAAAGCATCTACAAAGACAAGAAACCATTAGAAATTTGTAAAATATACATTGGCAAAGAAATACAATGTTAAGAAGACTGTAAACATTGTCATATCCACGCGATTCAATGTTAAACTTTTTATTTCGAATTTTGTCCCAAAATCGAATATACATTTTTGAAGATCGACAACCCTTCCTACACGTACACGAGATGTGATAGAAAACATTAATATAATTTTCATTTGCTTTTCCTAGGAAATGACGTCAATTTGTTGGCACTTGCCCACAAATGCGACAAACGTTGTTGCTCTGCACCGGGCATCAGCAAAACATGCTGCGGTGTCACAATGAATTTAATAATCTACCTGAATTGTTGCAATTAAATTATTACATCGAAAAGATTAAAGAAGAAAAATATTTTGAATGACAATTCAATTTAGGTTTCGGAATATGTGTACATTTAAAGTGTTACGTAAGGAACAAATAATAGTTTATTCAAACAACACTAAATTGACTCTGAGTCATTAGCATTTTAATACCCTACACCGATTGGAAGGAACTTTAAAAATTGCGTTGAAAAATTCAGTTTGAATGAAAACCGTTATATGGGGCAATACGAAAACGTGGATCGACATGACTCATATACGAACCTACCTACTGGCAAAATACACATGTGTGCAAAATTTTAGCCTTCATTTTCAATTCGTTCAAAGATAGCGTGATTACCACGGACAGATAGACGGATATCGCTAAATCGACTTAGAATTTTACGCTGATCAAGAATATATAAACTTGATTGGGTCTGACATGAGTATTTCGAGGAGTAACAAATGGAATGACAAAGTTAGTAGACCCCCCATAGTATGATGGAGGGTAAAAAAAACAGCTGTTTGTGTGTATCAACATTTGAAGATCTAAGCTCTACGATATACTAAAGGGTTATATCGCCAAAAGAAGAGCGTAATATATTGAATATATATCAGTCTTGGAAAGCTTACACTAATCAACATCAAATGAAATTAGAATATTCCTCAGACAGGGACACATGCAGGGTGGTGCACCCTGGGCCGGATACGACTATTCCAACACTAGATGATATTGAAATGGTTGATGGTACATCTATTTTATAATTACATATCACCCTTGAGTTGCTCACTGGTGGGGCCTTTCTCGTCAACAGGTATTAACAAGTATCTGGAAGCGAACGTCCAGTGGGTTCTACAAAACATTGGCCAAGAAGGAAGAAAGAGGCACAAATAAAACAAACAAACAAACGAACAAATACCAAGAATATCCAAACATCATTGCTATCTTCTGTTCAACTGCAAAACACATTAAAAGCTTCATTTGTCCCGGGAATCTCGCATTCGTATCGTAACCACTCGATTTGGCGTTTTGCCAGCCTTTACACATAAACAAGAGGCTCTGGCATGCTCTTTGGCATTTGTAGTCCAGCGAGTACACAACGATACAGCTAATGCCACTTGCTATGCAGACTAGGCAGACAGGCAAAGTTCGGCTGAGTACGTGTATCTGTGTGTGTGTGTGTGTGTGCATTTGTATGCTTGTGGAACGTTGTTAAAGCTGTTCGACCAAACAAATCCTTCGGGCAGAAGTTCATTTTATTGACGGTGGCATAAATTTTGGAATTTTTATGCAGTAACGCCTGTCTGTCAGTAAATGTTCATAACGATGTCAGTCAGTCAAACTATACAGCCGACATGCATTGTTCGACTGCCAAACACCATCTGAAGACAACAAAAATCAACTTCATTGGTTGCCAGGGCGAAGTAATTTTCCAATTTCCAAAAAAAAAAAAAAAAAACAAAAACAAAGTGTTTTGAAATGAATGCTTGCGTTTCTTCATGTGCCCTACGCTAAATTAGAACCATGATGGTTCAACTCCAGCCTACATCGTCAGTATCATTCAACTGCTGTAGGGAGCTCAACTTTTTGTGCCGTCCTCCAATGCATTAGTTACAGCAAAGGCCGGCTTTTCACAGCGTTGGATGAGGATGAGCACCCGAATATGAACTGTTTCAATTTAGTTCGCGTGTTCACTCAATTCAATTTCCTGCAGACGGAAATGTTTCAACGAATATTTGGCTTTGCGAAAAGCTAAGCGAAACTATTAATGCCTGAATATAAGACGGCTGGAATATCTCTAGGAATATTTATGACAAGCCAACGGTTTGCGTATTATAAATGTTCAGTAATTCATTCGTTTGTTTTTCGAATAGCTACCCAGCAAAAAAATGGCAGTATCTACTATTTGTATTATCATTTCAGAAATGTACAAGACAAATAGCTTATTTTATTCATTTCCTAGTAATGAGTAACGGTGGCACAAAGTGTCCACTGAGTTCGATACTCAGCATTGGCACGCCTACAAATACCGATGACATAGTTTTTAATGTAGGTGAAGGTCTTTAAACCGGACTCGATTAACGGGTACATTGTAGTGTCGATTTTTTTCGCTTATTTACAAACATCGTCGAAAGAGAATAAAATGTGGGCTGTGACACGACAACACCGATCGTGGAGATAGCCTCAAATTATTCTCGTCACTGTTAGATCTACTAACCTGATGTTGATGAACGAGAAAAGGGAGATAAGTCCCTATGCTGAAATAGCGTTCACATTTTATTTGCAGAGCTGAAGACCTCTTGCTTTTTTATTTGTTTTTCTCGCAAACCTTATTGGCGGAGAAACAAATCACATTTTTCGTTCATGGGTGTAGGGGGTGTCGGGTCAATTCTACGGTTGCCTGCAGCAATTCCAATTTCGCACTTAACACAATTCGGTCATAAATCAATGGGCAATAAATTTACAACGGGACACAATTGTAGAAATTGTTGGCCATTGCAAGCATGCCAATACCAGCACCACCAGGGCGGGGGACCGTTTTAAAGTTACACATTTATTTTTGTGCGAATTGAGGATTGTGAACAGGATTTACAATTTAACATTTAACAACTTCAACTCTGTGTATCTCAGGTATTGCTTCTTGTGATATAATCACGTAAAAATGTGATTTCTCGTGTATGGTTCTCACTTTGTGAAATACCCCAGCAGTACAGATATAATAAAGTTCTACACGCCACGACTGGATGTGTGTACGTCACTAAGTAACCCGCCCAGTATAATTAAAAGTATTTCATTGAAACACATATTGTGAAACGAGGGGTGGTATTAATAGAAATGTTTCAATGCCAAGGTCATTTTTTGTATTTTGTTGAAAATTTCATTATATGCCGGTGCAATTATATACACACACACACACACACACACACACACACATACAAACACACTCACAAACAAACTCATGTGCGAAGAAACATTCATGACCGTATAAAAGTACCTGGGTAGATAAAAGCGGCAGTACACGCGGCGTAAAATTCCGTTGGCTTGTTGGTATATTGAGCACAACTCACCCAGAGGGGGAATATTTCGAATTGGTTTTAAATTGTTAGACTTCTCATGCATAAAAGTATAGTCACTATCGAAATTATAGCACAGCTTGCATAACCGCAACACACAGTACTGCAAATTAACGGGAATTGAATATGGATACTACGTGTGAACACGTCTATCCTACAATTATCTCGTGTATAATAGTTCCATGATCGCTGCTAAAATTTTGAACACTGCTGGCTAACTAAATGCTCCTGCGAGTGCATGATTAAATGTAATTCCCATTTTGAATTCAGCTGCATTGTATTTCGCTTGTGACAGACAATTTCTAACATTCAGCGCAATTCCATTGTGTATTAGAGCACCGCTGCGAATAGCAGTGTGGCCGAGTCATGCCTTTTGTCTATCTGTCAAAGCAATTTGCTGGCCAGTCACATCACTTTGTGGTCAGAGACGAAAGAGACGGGCGGCGCAGAGAGGGACACCTTTAGTGTGTTATGTGTTAAACGTTTTTCTTGCTCGCGTGTTTAAATAGTCGCCTCCAAACATGCAGATGATCGATCGAATACGTAGATGACGCTGACGTCGAGGACCCCAGGAAAAAATATTAAACCGAGCAGAGGAATACCAGAACATTCTTTTCTTCATCTTCTAAGAGGGACTTCTTCCTACGAATAGATCATCATTTGCGCGTAGATCTCATCATTTTGCCAAATGGCATGACATTCCAACATTTGACAGCCAAGTTCACACTTTCATTCCCAACCCATCAACCCTTTAAAGTGGCACAATGAAAATGGTCCTGCATTATTAAGAGGGGTTATTTACCTGCGAATACTTTACGCTTCATCAACTTCAACTCTTTATCGGGTGTTTACTTCTTTGTAGCGGAAAACATGAGCAAAGCGGATGAACATCTATAAATAGTTGCTGGGCACCAGACTATTGACCCCACAGACACTCGCGATACCAGCCAGCCATCCATGTGGAACATAATGCTATGCAATGAACCTAAACATCGCCATGCCGGACGATGTGCAGTGTGCACCAAGAGACTATCGTCTGCGAAACGACGAAGGCTGCTCACATTATGAAATGACCGGCGTTTAGTTTATCAATCGTAGCGACAACCGAAAGCATGGACGACGAGGGGGAAAATAGTTTGCAGGCTTTAACTAGGCACTTCAGTTACACATGAGACCTGCCTGAGCATTTATTTATCAACCTTAAAATTGATGCCAATTTCTCTCAGATTCTATAAAAACGTCAACAAATCAAAGTGTAAGCGTAAATTATTTCAACAATTCGATTTGTCAACAATTTTAAAAAAGTTGACCAAAATTAATGAAACGCCAGGAAAATTGCAATTTTCTTTAATTTTGCCCATCACTGGTCTAAAGGCCTTTATGGAAAGAAGTAGAAAAAATATGAATTAAATAGTCATTCAACGAAATTTTCATGCGGTTCCGATGGAAATGGGGTATCAATAACAGTCAAATTAAAAAATTTTGAAAAAAAAAAAAGATATTATTGCATAACTTCACCTTCTTGATTCTACTATGGCCCAGCCCTTGTGAAACAAGTTTTTTTTTATTTTTTTTTGGAATCATATTT